TATATATATATATATATATATATGTTTTCATAAAGAAATATTTTGAAATAAAACAAAATTATTTTCTTACTAAAACTATACGTGTGACTACTGCTGTATATGTGTGTATTGTGTATACATATATAAAAAAGTAAAAACGACGCTTTCACTTTACAGACTGACCTAATAATCAAATACCTCCTTCCATGTAATTTTGATAACATTATAAAACGTTAAACGGTAATGTGAGGATGTTCAGTGGCATCTTGTATTTCACTCACATACTTCGTTCTTTAAGTATTGAATAGAAACTATAATTCTTCTATACACCACATAAAACAGAAATATAATAAATAATATAAAAACATGTTCTTTTTATCAGTTTCAATGTGCGCGTTTCTTTGTAGTTGTTTATATTATTATAAACCTCGAACAGATAAACATTATTTAATAATTATTTATTATACCGTAATATACTCGTTGGTAGCTTTGAAAGAGATGTTCTATGACAGAATCAATGCCAAGAATAATAAAACAGGTAAGATTTTTCTTGTATATTTCTTCTTATATTAATAATTCTTGTTGTTTCATTTTCAACGTAACAAAATGAAAGTTCAAATTTGAAATTTTTCAAATTACACGTCACGTATATCTGCCATTTTAAAAATTTCGATTTGAATTGATGTCATTTTAATTAATGACAAATATGGCAGAAGAAATAAAGTATAATCATATTATACAATTGTAAATCTATTGACGTTATTTTTTTAATTAGATTTATTGTATCTCAATGACAGTATTATTTTGATTATAATTGTTTTTTGTAAAATATGTTTAGCCTTGTTACCAATGCCTGGAAAAATTGCCATTATAACAGGTGGCTCTAGAGGAATTGGGTCAGAAGTTGTAAGAATGTTATTACAATGTGATATAGAAGTAATAATCGGTAAATAAATTAAATCTTTTTTTTTTAATAGTTTTCAAGAGTTAATACTATATTAATATTAATATTACAGCTTGTCGAACACCTTCTGTTGGAGAGAAATTAATTTCTAAAATAAGAGAATCTGGTGTTACTACTGGAAAAGCAAAAGTTTACAAAATTGACAATAATTCTTTAGAATCTGTAAAAGAATTTGCTGACAAAATAAAACATGATTATAATGAATTACACATTTTAATAAATAATGGTAAAAATAATGAAATTTTCGTTTGAATTAACATGTTTGTCTATGTAATCAATAATTTGATAGAATTAATGTGTGTACAAATTTTTGTTGTAGCTGGTATTATGTTTACTCCTCAAAAGGAAACAAAGGATGGTTTTGATCAACAATGGAGTACAAATTATTTGTCACACTTTTATTTAACAGTACTGTTATTACCTCTCTTGAAAGCTGGCAGTCGTCCAAAAGAAAATAGTAGAATTGTCAATGTTTCATCTTGTGCTCATCGTATTGGATGGATGAATTTCGATGACATTAATTTTAAGTATGACACATTACAATTTAATAAACAAATAATTATAGATAAACATTATTTAATTAATAACAATACTATTGTATTAATTTAGGCAAAACTTTAACACATATTTGGTGTATGCGCAAAGTAAGTTGGCTCAATTAATATCCACTAAACATTTACAAGATCTTTTTGAAAAGAAACAATTAGGAATTCAAGTATATGCAGTACATCCAGGAATTGTTAATACAAATTTATTTGATTATTCCTATTTAAAAAGATTAAAATTTTTAAATAAATATACGATGAAGGTAAGTTAAAGTAAATGATTTCAATGTTATTAATATGTTAATGTTACTTTCATTATTTATTGATAAATATATTCGAATAATTTCAGACTCCTGAACAAGGAGCTACATCAATAGTTTATGCAGCTACTAATGATAAAATTAAAGAACATGGTGGAATTTATATAAATAATTGTATAGAAGATAAGAATGTAAATCCTTTGGTTTACGACAAATTTACTCAAGAAGAATTATTACGTATATCTCTTGAACAAGTACAATTGAAAGATCTTTTTCAATTCATCGATAATTAATAATAATTACAATATATTTTTATATGATTACTAGGGGTGCCCCGGCCACACGTTGCTGTGGCTAATAAATATGTAGATAGATCTGAATCTACGCACATAATATTAATCTTTTATTCTATTTTTTCTTAATATCCTTTTAAAGGAATAATAATTATGGTAGATCACCCTTATCACTCAGGGGTATAAGAAATATACGAAAAACTATTCTCATACCTGCCGAATGTACACAAAAAATTTCATATAAATCGGTCAAGTGGTTTCGGAGAATAAAAATAACAAACACTGTGACAGGGGAATTTTATAGAAATAAGATTTAACATAAATTCTTTGTAATTTGTAATAAATAATGCGATCAATCAACGGCCTATAAGCTGTTGGATATTACTAGTTTATATATACTAATTTATATAAAAAAAAAAACTAAATTATTAAAATCAAGCAAGTGGACATAGTTAGTAGAATGGTAATTCATTTGAAAAAAAAAACACCAAAAAAAAAATGAGTGCTGTTTACTTCAGAGAAGAATTTTTTGATAATATTGGATAGATGTGTCATTCATAGAAAAATGAATTCCAATCCATAAAAGAAATAAAAAGAAGATGTGCAATTAAAATGAAAGTAATTCATAAAAATGATATTATTATTGTTATTCTAGTATTCTTATCATAAAAACAAATGAACTCTTTTAAACTTCACACACTTTTCACACACACACACACATTATATAATAAACAACACTCTAATAATAACAATTGTTTAACTGTATAATTTATAATACAAATATCACTGCATTAAATGTTATTGTTTAACAAAATGATTTTCTCAATCGTATATCCTCCTCTATTGCAATACGATGATCTCGCAAGAATTATTTATTCGTCATTTCCTCTTATAATAAAGTATAATGATTGAATATAATTTATAACGGTATTTCTTAATTGGTTACATATTGCAAACCTATAAATATTTTATTTTCTTTAAAAAAAAAATAAAAAAATAAAAAACATATCAACCAAATTTGAAAACAAACAAAAAAAAAAACAAAGAATAATATTTATATAATTAAGTGAAATATAATTATTATTATAAAATCAAAAATTAATGCGATTGCTGTTATTTTCTTTTTTTTTTTTTTGTAATAAGCTTATCAAATTTTTGAGATATATTAAAGAGATGAATAAGATATATTAAAGAGATAAAGATAGATATTAAGAGATGAATTTAATTATAAACTATTTTTGTTGTGTTGTTGATATATTATTAGTGCCATTGTCAAAAATGTTTTCTCATTTTAAGTATGTGGTCAAAAACTACACTAATTTTGTTTGGATCCATAAACCACCGATTTTTTGTATCGATTATTATTATCAACAAAATATTGGTATATAAAATCACCATGAAATATAACAACATAATAGAAACGCAAAAGACAACAAATAAGAATTTATGAAACAAAATTTTATTTTTTATTTACAAAAAAAGAAAATAAATAAATTTATTTTTTTGTAAATGTAAAATTATCTCTTTTTGTAAATCAAACATTATCTTTTTAATATAGATTTTTTAAATCATCATTACAATGGACATTTAGTTCCTTTAGTACTCAAATCAGTTGGTAAATAGTGGCGTGTTGCTATAGAGGACTACACGTGTTGAACTAACCTCAAAAAATAACAAACTTGAAGATAAAAATATATGTGTATTGTTGGAAAAAAAATTGCTTTTTAATTTTTTTTATAAAGAAAACAAGTAAATTTATTATATTTGTTATAAAAATGCCGAAAATACGTACCGAAAAGAAATCTCGTGTGCACAAGGAGGTTACAAGACAAGGTAAGAGAATATTTCTAAATTATTCATTATTTTTCTTTCAATATTTTCTTATGATTAATGAGATTTATTTATTTATGTTTTTTTTTTTCTATAGGTATTCAATTTAATAAGGATTTTGGTCAACATATTTTAAAAAATCCACTTATTATACAAAACATGGTTGAAAAAGCTGCTATTAGACCAACTGATGTTATATTAGAAATTGGTCCTGGTACTGGAAATATGACTGTTAAAATGTTAGATAAAGCAAAAAAAGTAATAGCATGTGAATTGGATCCAAGAATGGTTGCGGAATTGCAAAAACGTGTTCAAGGAACACCTTATCAATCAAAATTACAAATAATCGTGGGAAACGTATTGAAAATAGATTTGCCATTTTTTGATTTGTGCATTGCTAATATTCCTTATCAAATTTCATCTCCATTAGTTTTCAAATTACTTTTGCATCGACCTATATTTAGGTAATTATACATATATTTATATATTTAATTTAAATTTAAATGCTATTATCGTGTAATTAATTATATACCACGTGTTGTTGTGTGTTATATTTTATTATGAATTAATTTTTTGTTTTGTTTAGGTGTGCAATACTTATGTTTCAAAGAGAATTTGCAGAACGTTTGGTTGCACAACCAGGTGACAAATTATATTGTCGTCTCAGTATTAATACACAACTTTTAGCACGCGTAGATATGTTAATGAAAGTTGGAAAGAATAATTTTAGACCACCACCAAAAGTAGAATCTAATGTAGTTAGAATAGAACCACGAAATCCACCACCACCGATTAATTATACGGAATGGGATGGATTAACAAGGATTGCATTTGTTAGAAAGAATAAAACACTTGCTGCGGCATTTAAACAAACAACTGTAACAACAATGTTAGAAAAAAATTATAAAATTCATTGTAGCTTACACAATAAGGTATTGATCATTTTTATTCTGTAAGATTGATTTTATTTCAAATTTATTTATTCATTTTATTCTATTCAAATATAGACTGTACCAGAAGATTTTGATATAAAACAAATAATAAGTAGAATATTGGTAAATGTTAAAGCAGAAGAAAAGCGAGCTAGGACTATGGATATTGATGATTTTATCAGGTATGTAAAAATGATCATATATCTATAATTAAAAGTCATATCAAATATAACATCTTTTCTTTTCAGTCTTTTACATGCATTCAATGCTGAAGGAATTCATTTTACATGAATAAAAAGAAATATTGTATGTGCATTATTTTCTTTCATGTAATTGTCAAAATTATGCAACCATTCGAAGAGAAAAATAAAAGAATGTTCATAATTGTTTTTTTTTTTTTTAGAAAAAAAAAACATTGTAATATTTGTAAATAAATAATCAATATTTTGTATAAGCTAGTGTTTGTTTTATATTTAAATAAAACTTTTCAATTGAAAGAGTTTATCTAATTGTTACAACCATTATGGCACACCATTTGTGCTTTTATTTTGTATATTATTAAATGTTACTATTATATTCTTGGTTTTTATACTTTATTTAATTTATAAAGAAAAAGATAATTTTTTTTTTGTTACAAAGAAATAGCATTATATATATATACATACATACATAATACATGACATCAGCGTGTGTTCATAGTTTATTATCTATTCTACTTATAAAACATTTTGTTATTTTATTTTTTTTTTTTTATTATTTTTATTTTCCATTATTCTTATAATCATAAATAATAAAATTATATTTAATATCAAAATTATCACTCGCAAAATTCATATAGTTGTGTCTTTATGTTTATCATTTACATATGTATTCATTACATTATTTGCATTAAAAGATGAAACTGTATATATGCTTATTTCTTTGGGAATCACGTTGTATAGGAAAACAGTATTTAGATTTTTCTATAAAGCAATACATGATAAATTATTATTTAATATAAGATTATAAAGATGAATGTGTAATTTTGGAAAATGAAAACAAAAATAATATACACATATAGAATGTAACTATGTAAATATGAATAAAACTTTAATAATGAATTTCTTTTCTAATGAAATAATTCAATATCAAATGATTAAATCAATTCATTTTTAATTTTGACCTGTTTTAAGAAATATATTTCATTTATATAAATATTTAATCAATTAATTTTATTTCACATAAATATTGATAAACATTATTCAAACTTATTATGTCCATTTGTCCTCTTAATTTCTTTATATTTTCTTTTTTTATCATTCATTAATTTTTGTAAAATAGATATGCAAAACTTATATACATTATAACTTTAGTTAGTATCATCATATTTTAGTATGAAAACGTTCTTCTTGTTAATCAACTTAATAATATTATTATTTCAAAATCGTAAATAAGGAATAACTTTGTTTTAATAAAAAAAAAAAAAAAAATGAAATTTCCAAAGATTATTTTCATTGTATGTAACATTGTTAATAATAATTATGTGTATTTTTGTAATTACTCTATTTATAATTTTGTATTCATGCATTTACATTTATGCAACTTGTGCATTATTATATTATTTATTTTTTTTTCTTTTCTCTTAATAACTGTATTAAAAAATAATCATTAAAGAAATTCTGCAGATAGTATTTATTATAAATGCTATATCATTTCATTGTGAATCATATTGCGATATATATATATATATATATATATATATATATATATATATATTTTCGCTTAATTATTTCCTATTGATAATATAGAACAATAATATTTGAATTTTTTTTCGATTACTATTGTATAATTCTATATATAATTATACTTTATTACATAAGTTTAAACATATACTTATAATCGACTAATATATCAGTACATTTTGCTTTTGTTAATTTTTATAAATATCCTTATATATAAATGACATGTTTTATGTTACACCATATTCATAAATATCTATATAAACGATAATTATATATCGTATAAGATTATTACATTAATATAATAGTGATTATAATAATCTATAAAAGAAATGCGTCCATTAGCAATTTGAGGGATTACTTGAATTAATGAATCGAGGAAAAGTTCGTAACATTTTATAAATATATATTAGATATATAAATATCAAAATATACTAATGTATATTTATTTTATATATATATTTTTGTTTTAAATCGTTACGAACTTTACGGATAACCGGAAGAATAAAACTGTGTATATATATATTTATAAGAAAATCTGGACAAATTTATCAAAATGTTTCTTTTCTCTTCCTTTTTTTTTTTTTTTTTTTAATAATAATGAACTAATAAAGCCAATAATTATGGGAGTGAACGAAAAAAATATTTACCGATGAATAATAAAAAATAATTCTTTTTTTATTTTCAACATCTTTTCATTTAATTAATTAACATATTTAAAAACTGTAGCAATGTAAACAATTGTCATAGCAAGATAAAATTTAAATAATAAAACATTTATTGTGATATATCTTGTAATAGTGTGATAAATAAACCTTATATATATATATATTTTTTTTTTCAGAAAAGAGATTATTAAGTTTTATGACAAAATTAGTCCGAGTTAGAACTATAATGCCCCCTTGCATGTGACAATTCCATTTTAGATTTCATTTTTGATAAAGAGTTTCGATATTTAACTTTTCTACGACTCATGCGTGCTGTACGTTTCCATTCGTTGCATAAATTATTTTTAGAATCGGAATGTTTCCACCATGTTTCACTATTATATGATGCAATTGTATCTGATGAACTTGAATTAGAGGTGGAAGATCTGCTACGAGATCTGCTACGGGATCTGCTACGAAAACTGCTACGAGATCTGCTATGGGATCTACTAGGAGATCTGCTACGGGATCTGCTACGAGATCTACGAGATCTGCTATAGGATCTGCTACGAGATCTGTTATGAGATCTGCTACGAGACCTACTACGAGATCTGCTATGAGATCTGTTACGAGATCTGCTACGAGACCTGCTAGAAGATTTGCTACGAGATCTGTTACGAGATTTGCTACGAGAACGTCTTGTCTTTTTATCTTTACATGAATGTTTTGATCTTCTTTTATATTTTTTGTATGAACTATCTGAATAATTGCTAATTTGACTATTGGAACGTGTACTACTACTTTCTCTTTTTAATAACATTTCATTTAACAACATATCTTTATTTTCACTTTCATATTCAGTTTTATATTTATGAACTTGCCGTTTTTTACGGGTAGATCTTCTGGTCTTTTTCGGTATATGTGGAGATTTGCTAGTACTTCTGGTTCTAGATCGTTTATTTTTCCTATATTTGTAGTTCTTTCGACGAGAATCATCTAATGATGTTGTATCAGTCGTTGATCGTGATTTATCTTTATTTTTGTTTTCTTTTTCAGTTTTATCAGTAACATATTTTAAAACCCATACAGGCGGACTATTATTACCATCTATAGTTCTTAACCTTTGTTTAACAGGTTCATATTTTCGTGCTTCTTTACTTTCATTGGATGTTTCACTGCTGCTAGTACTACTACTACTGCTGCTGCTGCTAGTACTAGTACTGTTGTAACATCTATTGCTACTGCTATTAGTATTAATATTACTGCTAGTATTATTAGCACCAGTCTTGCTGCTAATACTAGTAGTACTGGTACTGCTGCAACAGCTACTGCTACTAGTACTGCTGCTACTGCTGCTGCTGCTGCTACTGCTACTACTACTGCTACTACTACTAATGTTATTGATATTATTTTCCTTGTATTTCACTTCTTTTTTGATTAAATCCCTACGCACTTTTACCTTAGCTTTATTTGAAGAATTGCTTTCTTTTCTTGATTTAGTTTCATTCAATTTCTTTTTCCTATCTTCATCCAAATTAGATTCGCTAGAACTACTTAATTTTGTTTTTCCATGTTGACTGCTTCTTCTACTACTACTTTTATTTCTAAAATCACTTTCAACTGATGATACACTTGATACACTTCTGTCCGTTCTTTTACGACGTTTGGCATTACCATGTTTACGCCTTTTATTATTAATCTTTTTCTTCGACGATTTTTTTACATGACCACGACATTTTCTACTTCTTCTAGGATTGTAATCACTATCCGACGAATCATCGCTCAAAGTAGATGAACTTTCTGAAATACTTGCCATAAAGATTTCACTATTTGTCTTATTAGGTAATTCCTTTTTAGAACTAAATGATGTACTAGCTTGAGGAACATCTTCTGTAAGAGAATTTCGTACAGACCTGTTAAATTAAATAATAATCATTTAATTACCCAAAATAATATCATTAAGTTCAAACAAATACATTATAGTTGAATTTAAAAAGTTCATGTAAAATAAACTTACTCAGTTTTATTGTTAGTTACATAAACTGCATTAGTATCCTCAGGATCAGAAGAGTCTAATTCTATAATTTCAGGTGTTCTTTCATGACGAGGTTTGACATAACAAATAACTTCACATTCATCATCCGAAGATCCAGATGATATTGTTAAAACATCTGGTACAGTATATGGTTCTTCTAAAGGGAAAGCTTGTGCAACAGTACTAGGTCCTAAAGTAATTCAATATTATATTAATATTTGCTAGAACATTTTGAAAATAATTATTTGTTTATAATTACCAGGCATATTAATTGGAAGTGGTACTACACCAGGTATTTCAGTATTCACACGTAAGTCAATTGCTTCGTCAAGTACATGAACATCTGAATCATCGGAAGAAGTACTACTGTTACTAGATACAGGTGAAACAACATGTGGAACGTATTCTCTTGATGATAAACCTGTCACAAAATATATACATTTTTTTGTTTATTATTGTTTTCAGTAAATTATTAAAACAATTCACACACACACACAATATAAATATATATATATATATATAAACCTTGATATAAATAAGTAACAGCTTGATCATATGAACTTATATCATAATTAGTTCCTGCAAAATTAAATAATTCGTGTATGAAATGTTCAGTATGTACACCAAAAAATGGCCGTACAATATTTTGAAATTGAAGACTTCTAATATCATGAATTGTTAATGCATTCATAATAATTCTTAAAACATGTGGAATATGTCTTGGTCTGTTACTAATTAATATTTGTAATTCTCTATTTAACCATGGAACAAGACGATCCAATTCTCTTGGAAATCTCCTATAAAATATAATTTATATATTGAACTAGTTTTTATTATAAACTTAGAAAAAAAAATAAAGATCATATCAAAATATCTACCGATAGTAATCAGCACTACATTCTTGAAAACGTCCAGGTAATGAAGTAGCCCATATTCCATGTGTATATATAGTACGACGTAAAGTTGGATTAATTCGTCTTCTAGGATCATCTCTTGGTACTTCTGATAGTAAAGCGTAAAAACGATCTCTTGTAGCCTCTTGTAATTCAGCATTTTGGATAAAACGACGATGATTATCAGGCATTGTTGTTCTATAAAGGTTAGGTTAAAACCAAAGTTATCAAATATTATCAATATATTGTTCAAGTTACCAAAATATTAAATATATTTGAATATATATTTTTATAAAAGATAACTTTGATATATTATTTATATTTTACTAAATAAACTTATAGAATAATAGTCTAAGTAAGATAAAAAATAAATTATATTCTACCCGTAGATGAAACGACGTTGTTGATTGATAACCCAATTAGCATCTTCAAAATCATCATCCAAATGATGAATTGTCATAGCAGGTTGTGGAAGTTGATTTGCAAATTCGCGTGGTACATGATATTGATCATAATCTTCTTCTGATCTCACATTATGTATGATTGATTTGAAGGTTTGTTTGCATAACGGACATTCTGTTTTTATTTTAGACCATTGTAATAAACAATTAAAACAAAACTGATGTAAACAACTGTCTGTAAATGATGTGTTGATTAATTTCCCAAGACATATACTGCAATTTGGTGGCGGAGAAGCTGCTTCTTCGTTTCGTTCATTGTTATCCGAGTTTTGTACAATTCCTTCAGATTTAACTGGTTCTGCAGTAGCAGAAGTTGAATCCTTTACTTGCAGTGGACCCTCCATTGTATTTAAATATTTGATTCCAATCAAACAATCATCTATGAAATTATTATTACAAAATCTTGTAAAACAATTTTAACAACTTTTTCATATTGCCTAATATTATCAAAATAACTATTTCAACTTTTCATATAATCATCTCACATGGATAAATAATAAAAGTTAGCTTGAATTAAATATAAAAATATAAAGATAATATATATATATATAAATAATAAATGAAAATGTTTCTTGTAATAATCCAAAACATGTACATAAGAATGGATTTAAATCCGTTAATATTACATATACATACAATTGTTAATATAATCAAATATAAATATAGATATTTACACAAGATTACACAAGATTACACTTGATACATGTATACGTTAAAATTATTATTATTATTTTTATTTTTTTTTCTTTTCTCCCCAAGATTATTTTCAAAATGAACGCACAAATATTATTAAATTATCCTTTAAGGACGCGTATACCGCATTATGATATTAATTCTAATATTATTAAACTATCATAAATACTCCGTACAATAATAATATGTCTTCTTACGAATATTAAAGTATAAACGATATTTATATTTGACTAACGCTATGAGAAAATGGATTCGAAAAAAAATTATGAAAAGAATAAAACGTCATAAATTAACAATGCTTCATTTACATTTTGCGAAGTAACAATACTTTTTTATGATTTATGTATTTGAAATGATTAAAAATGTAAAAACAATTGACGTAATATTAATATCTTACCTTAAAAACTAAAGATAGCAGTAAAATGCGTCAAATTTTCGATAGAGTTCAATACTGTTTAATGAATATGATTCTTTTCACAACTCTCGACATTCGACGACCATAAGGCAAAAAAAAAATCTGTCAAGTTGGTATCACAATGAAATATATAAATGATACAAGAATCGAACTGCTTATATTTTCTTAGTTTACTAAGAGCCATCTATAAATACTATATATGTTTTCTTTTTTACCTTATTTGATATATACAATTATATTTATATTTCAAGAATATTATTCTAATATTATTAATATTAATATTATAAAATTACTTTCTATTTTAATAATATTTAACATTTATTTTCAAAATATTATGGTTCTTCAATTGACTTCACTTTAGTTATATTACAGAAACTCATCGTTATATCATATATATATATATATATATATATTAATTTAAAAATATTATTGTTAAATAAGTGTTATATAATCATTCAAATTTATGATAAATATGTACAAATTATAAGAAATACAAATAAACATCTTTTCAATCATCTGATCATGTAATATATGTTATTGTAAAGAATATTTTTGACTAGACGTTTGGCAATACTGCTTATGGTACATTTTCGTACTTTATCCAGCAAATATTTAAAGAAGAGGTGGTTCTTGTCTTACTTGTATGTACTTTTTTTTTTTTGATACAAATTGATGAAATATTTTACGCGCGACAAAATAAAAAGTAATCTATATCTAAATCTCTTATTCTACAATATCTAGCACCTTGGTGACACGAGATAATAAATTTAAACAACCATGGCGTTATGTTATACTAGGTATTATATGTTAATTCATTTGATTTCATTGATCAAACCTTTAAATATTAATTAAAATATGTTTTTAGACTTATTTGTCGACGAGGTATTGGTTTTCAACATTTTCGAGGTTTATTTACAAGCAAGTGAGTATTAATGTATTACGTAATTATATAATGTTATGCTATTTGATCATCTGACTGTCAATTATGATTCATTTTTATAATTTATCCAAACATTAATACATCTCTATTTATTTGTATATTTATGAAAATAATCATTCATATTAAAATTAATATATAAATATATATATTAAAATGCCATACTTTTTATATTAAAGAAAATGATAAATAAATAATGCATATTACAAATCAAATTAAAATTCAATATGTTACAGTTCACTAACTACATCATTATCACAACCAGTATGTGCTAACAGTAATGTCTGTGAAACATATGATGAAAGGAATATGCGTCTTAAGAGACCAATGTCACCACATTTGACTATTTATCAAGTGCAATTAACATCATTGCTTTCTATATCTCATCGTACAACTGGTATAATATTGTCAAGTTATGCTATGTTTTTAGGACTTGGTAAGTACACATAATTTTATATTAAATATTAATACACTTTGATGATATTTATTTTGTTTAATGTTATTATAAAAATATCTTTTATTTCTTGTATATTTCAGGTACTCTATTCGTACCAGGTGGAATACCTTGTGTTATAGAACTCATAAATGAATTAAATTTACCCGTAGCTTTACTCTTTGTAAGTAAAACATTACTTGCATTTCCTGCTACGTTTCATACATTCAATGGATTTCGACATTTGGTAAGAAGTTAAAAAATATGATAATTGGTTGTGCAATATAGATAGCAATAAAATAGAACATTATTTTTAGAATAAATCTTATCTATGTTCTATAATTACAGGCTTGGGATTTAGGAATGTTTCTGACAATTAAACAAGTATATTCAACGGGCTATGCTGTAACTGCTTTAGCAGCTATTTCTGCCATTGTTTTAGCAGCTTTGTAAAAAGAAAAAAGCACTGAAACTAAGTGCAGTAATTGAGAATTTATTTATTTTTTAGAAATTCTTTGTTATTTATGGATGTGCATCATATCATCTCATCCTATAATGTTAGTATTGTATGAAATAAAATAAGTTATTATAGAGATACATTATTTCTAAATTCTTCTGTATTATTGTTTCTTATTCGTTAATGTTTATTTCTAAATAACTTTCAATGTGTGTGTGTTCATTTATTTAGAAAAATTATTGTAGAAGAAATTTCGAAAACGCGAATTTTATGTTAAGACCACAATGCCAAAATTGTACTCTTCTCAATTACAAAATACTTCATATATTTCGGACCTTTTGTAAATAATAAAACATTTATAATTACATAATGTTTCATGGTTAAAATAGATCATTGTTTCGATCTTTTATATCAATAGCTTTGATTAAATAATTTAGAATCATATAAAATCTTCGAGAGAGGAATCCATAAATTTTTTATATACAGCCATGAACCTAGCAATAAAAGCCTCCAAATGAAAAATAGGTTTTGATCCGTTCAACATTCTATGCTCATATTCTGCGGCTATGAATATTATTTCACTTTTTAATTGAAAATCACAATTTTTTATACATTCCTGTAATAATCCTTTAAGAATGACATCGCAAGGTATTAAATGCGTTAACAATTCGTAAAGTCTTTTTCTAATGTCTAATAATTTCTTTGGTGTTTGTTCTGTTATCATCATATTAGCTGTAGTACGAATAAATGTTTGCCAATCAGGTTCAGAAATCTTTTGATTAGCAGTAAATGGATACCTGAATTGTAACAACATTAAAATTGTTATTGGAAGAAAGAAATTGAATTATTAGATTAATTAAAAATATTTAAATTGTACATACTGTTCAACTTTACAAGCTTCTAGCATCAATATTGCTCTTCTGAGATTTCTTCCACTAGCATTAGCAAGTCTGGTAGCAAATTCATCCGGTAAAGTTATACTTTCACGTTTACATACTGATTGTAAAATAGATTTAATTTCTGTTATTGTTGGTGCAGAAACACGTATTCCTAGACACCGAGATCTAATAGCTGGTGATACACGAGATATAGAATTTGCGCAAAGAATTAATCTGCACGTAGCAATATACTTTTCCATAGTTCTACGAAGTGCATGTTGTGCATCTTTTGTAAGTTGATCCACGTTTGTTAACAAAACCACTATTTGAAAAATCAAATAATTTATCAAACTACACTTTCACTTAGCATTTGTTTTAACATGTTATACCTTTAAATTCTTTTTGTCCAGATGAATCAATCTGATGAGTTTGTGCTGTCATTTTAACTAAATCCATTACAACAACTTTATCGTATATATTTACATCACTGGGATTAACTTCTATGTGATAATTACTACTTATAGTCATTATTTCCAATTTTTTCTTCGAAGGTGTCTGTAACAATGTCATGAAGAAATGTAATCAACATATTATTTAACAATTAATAGTTAATTATTTACTGAATAAACATTATACCTCAAAACTCATATTTTCCATTCGTAATCTTTCAACACCAGAACCATATAATTCTTTCAAAATACACATTATTCTAGTTTTCTTTCCAGCACCAGAAGGTCCATATATTAACAAATGTGGAAAATCACCTTTGTGTACCTTTTATTATAAATAAAATGTTATTTATATTTATATATACATTATAAATAATTAACAGATTACAAGTACGTGCATTTACTGAAGCTATATTTATATGACGTTACGTTTTAATTATTTTTATAAACTAAATATTATCAAAAATAAAGAAAAAGGCGGGAATGCTATACAATCAAAAACAAAGTCCAACTGTGTTTGCCTGTCCGGCATATTACAATTTCTTGACAGTTACCATATTTTTAAGATATTCCGCTTGTTCTTTATGATAATCTAATTTAGAAAATGTTGTTGGCCGATATTTATCTACCCACAGACTCATTTTCTTTCGATTTTATTATAAAGATGTATGAAATATAATTTACGACCTTTCTTCTTCAGTCACTTATAAAAGTTTAGTTACGTATTCCGTAACTATACATCATAACCAATAATATCATTGCGCGCGAAAATTTAAAAACGAAACATCTCATACACACATACATATAATAAATACTATAGGAAAAATTATTTAATTTATTTTAATAATTAATAATAATTAATGTCATTATTATTTTATATATTTTGACAGTTATTCTTTGATAAATAATTTGTAATTTAGTGGATACGTGCAAGTGCATCTTTTTTTATGCCATCAGTTAGTGCATCTGTGCAACAGAAAATTACTACGTAGTTCGTACACATGGCTTTAGTACAATTTTTTTGTATCGTGAGGCGCTCTTTCTTTTTTACTTGAAATAGTCTTTCTATAGCCATTTGTATCGTGGTAGAGAGATCTGGTTTTATAAACAAAAATATGCAATTAAGTTATTATTTTAGATTCTCTTATAATTTATAGTAATCAATTTGTAAATATTTTTTCAAGCATTATTATTATTAATATTATTATTATAAAAAGGTAAGAGAGTGTGTAAATACTCTTTTAAATTGATAGAATGTCTTTTCAGAATAAACAAATAAATAGTTTTAAAGATAAAAATAAAAAAAGGATATACTAGTTTGGATTTATAGTTAGATATAATTTAGAAATGCAAAATATACTTGGATATATATACTGCTAACGTAATGGAACTGAAAGTATGGGTGGAAGGAATACAACGTATTGTGTGCGGAGTTACAGAAAATACAACTTGTCAGGTTTGTTGTGAAACACAATGTATGTATGTTGTAGAATATTAGATATTGATATACATTTTTTTATAATTATATAATGAAACAATATTTAAAGCATTTTAATAATTATTTGCTTTTAGGATGTTGTGTACGCACTTGCACATGCAACAGCACAAACCGGTAGATTTACCTTAGTTGAACGTTGGAGAACTAATGAACGACTTTTAGCACCATATGAAAACCCTCTTAAGGTATAAAATATTACAGAAAGTTAAAGAATATACAATATTTTATTGGTATGATAAATCTTTTAAAGTAATATCTCTAAAAACAGATTTTATTAAAATGGGGAGAATATTCTTCTGAAGTCCAGCTGATTTTGAGACGTTCTACTGATAACAATAAGAATCCAGGATCATCAACATCACGTATAACACATGGAACACGGATAAATGGAACATCAAATATGTCAGCGGAAGTTGGTGCAACGAATAATGTTCAAGAGGATTCTAAAACTACTCCAACTAATTTGAATTCAGATTTTGATGAATTACAGCAAGGTGGTGGTCTAGATAGAAATCGTGATACTAGGAAATCATTAACGTTTGCTGGATTTCAAGGAAATCTTACTGAGAATAATGCTGATGTAAACTAATATATTATTTTGATAAATTCTTTAGTTAACATGTGTATTTAATAATTTGTAATTTTATTACAGGTTCAAATGGAAAATGTTGCTATTGTTCAACCTACACCCCATTTTAAAAACAAAGAATTAAATATTCGAAAAAATATTCCACCGTCTCCAACGCGAGGTGCTAATCCTGATAGTAAGCTAATATTTTTGATTAATGAACTATTTCATAAGAATTTATGACTTTAATTATAATTAATTTTGAATGCTTTTGTATTTTCTAGTTAATACGCATTTATCTCAGAAAAAAATAAGGGAAGTTCCTCCTTATAGAGATCCTCCAGGACCAGCATCTCCTCCATTACGAACATTACCACCATATAGAGATCCACCACCACCAAATTTAAATAGTCCAGCAAGATCACAATTTGCTCCTAGCACAAACAGTAATATTTTAAATATTCATAAAGAAGAACAACCATCATCTAGCAACACTGTCAAATTGAAAAGAAATTTAATTCAGGTAGTATAATTAAAAAGAAAATATAGTTTATAGTTTTAATGTGTATGTGTGATACATTTGTATATTTAGGAATTTCAAGATACAAAAAGTCAAACGCAAGGAATTGCTCAATTATCTGGTCAAACACAAAATATGATGACAGTTGCTTATACCCAACGTTATGTTGATCTTATTAGACTAGTCAATAAACAAAGAGATACTATTAGTGCACAACAAGCTGATCTCACTAAAGTAAGTCAATATAACAATACATAATTCTACAAACTTAAATATATATTCGTATTATTTATTGATTTCAGTTCGATGCAGAAATATTATATTGGGAAACTAAAAATAGAGAACAAATGCACCAAATGGATTTCATTTCACAAGAATTAAATCGCATTGAAGCTAACGGTCGTATTATAGAAGATCAGGTATATATATATATATATTTATTTATTTGAAACATAAACATTGTGTGTATGTCTTTGAATATTTAAAGATGAATTTATTATAATTTACATAAACAAAATAAAGCTCAAAGAATTAGCTCATGTGGAAGAAGAAAGTGAAATTGTAAGGCAGCAAGAGAAAACATTAAAGTCGGAGATAACACTTCTCAGATCAAAGCTAGCTAATTGTGAAACGGAATTACTTCAATGTAAAAATAAAATTAGGTAAAAATATAAGCTTTGAATTTATTAACATTCCGTTTAATATATATATATATATATATATATATATATATATATATATATATATATATATATATTTAACTTTCTTTTTTAATAATTTGTTTCATATGATAGATTTATCATGGAGGAACTTACTGTAGAACAGCACAATACCAATCGTGAAACAGATGAGCGTCAAATAATTGAACGAAAAATAATCAACGAAGTTGAACGTCTTCAGAATGAAGTAGAACAAGCTAAACGATCTGCCGAGTTAGCATCGCAATGTGCGGAATCGTTAAAACTTGAAATAGTTAGTCTGGAGACAGCGATTGTAGAAAAAAAATTACAAGTTGAGAGATTAGTTGCTGATATGAAAGAGGCGAATTTACAAAGTTTAACCGTTGCTTGTCAAGATGAACAAGTGAAATCTTTACTTGAAGGTATATATTGTCTGATTGTATAAATAGATTATTTACTATCAAATATAATGTATAATAATAATAATTATTATTATTAGTTGGCGTTAGGAACTCGACAGTTCATTGCTGCAAATACCAAATCCCGCCATTGTTAATGTATAATTAATTGATTATATTTTACTCTTTATCTTTAGGTGCCTATAAACCAGGAAGTACACGTAAAATGATAGGATCACCTAGACAGTTAGAAACAGCAGTACCCACAAGTAAAAATCCACATGGCGTTTGGGTCTGAACAAAATGCATTATGTAAATAGATTTATATATGAATGTTTGTTTATATACAAGAATAATCGTGTATTTACAAAAGTATTGCTTGCTGTTTATCAAGTTTATAACATTCCGACGGATGTTCAATACTTTATCTGAACATTATGAGAGGAATTATCATTATAGTGTTCTACTTATTCATTCCTTCTCTATTATTGCAATAAAAATTCAAGAAGATTAGAGACATACAAATGTAATAATTATCCTTATTGATATACACATGTATATATATATATAAATGTATAACAACTACAAATTCTTGAAGAATTATATATAAGACCCATAGATAAGGTACACATATTATTTAGCTAAGTATTTTCTATTTTTTTATATTTTGTTACCATCTCTTTAAATACATAGAATTATATTCTTCCTTCCTTATGTTTATATTTTTGTTCAATTAATTCACACAATTCAATACAAACATTAAACGATTATAGGAAGTTACTTTTGTTGATATTTTATTATCGATAATATAATAATTAAGTAATATGTATTTAATGATATATAAGTATATTTCATTTGTATGTTATTCTTTTTTTTTTTTATATATAATACGTTAATATTACTAATAATAAATTTGTAATTCTTAGCAATTAACATTATATAAGTTCAATTCATTATTTTATTATACATATTATGCAAACATGTTCATGGGGTTCGTCTTAAGATGTTTAACTCTGATTTATTATCAAAGAATACTGTATTAAAGTACCTACTATGCCCACGTTAGGTTACAGTACTTACTAATGGTAAGATGAATCTGGTTTGGAAAAAAAGTGAACTTCTTGTGAGCTTCTGTATATTTCTGTATTCTTTGATTGAACAGTAGTCTATTATTTATTGGTTGTTGATAAGAACGATGTGATCTTTATCTGACGATTTATTATTCACCAGTTGTCAATAAATTAGATTCCATGGTTTTTTTCTTTGCAATTATAAAGTAGAATTATGTTCTTTCAACTAAGATTATTTTTTTTTGCTAATTTATCAAAAATTAAAAACTCTACAATCATTTTTACAATCATTAAATATATTTATTAAAATTAAACTAAGAATTTCAAGTTGATCAAAAGTGTTTTGCCTAAATCATGGAGTCTTCTGATTAGTGGATTGATAGAATATTGTATTAGAAAACTATAAATGTATAATTTTGTGATTAATATTTATATAAGATATGTAATTTTTTGAAAGATCAAATCTACGACATTTGACAATTCTGTCTTGTTACAGTATTTTATTAAATAATAATATGAGAAACAAAAATGTATTGACTATCCTAATTAAATTAATAGTGGATATTAAAATATGTAGGGACTTTAATGCTCACTACTACTTAACTTAATATATAATAATAATTAACTAATAATAAAATATAATAAAATATATAATAAAATAATATAATTAAATAAATAAATAATAATTAATATATAATAATAAATAAACTACAACTCAAGTTAATATATAAAGTTTTTTTTTNTTTTTTTTTTTTTTTTTTATAACAGTGATATGCAATTTTTTCTAATCTATTTATCTAATTTCTATCCATTGCATACAAGTTCTGTTCAATTTTCATTTAAGCAAATTATATCAAAAATAATAATAATAAAAAAAAAATCAAATGAACTGATCTATGTTTACAAAAAAATCAGGATTATTGTAAATAATTCTGTAATTCATTATTACATCGTCTAGTTGTTTCTTCTTCTTCTTCTTTTTCTTATAAATAATAAAACACTGACCATTTCTTTTTTTTATTCTCGATTGGATCACAAAATGATACTATGTATACTATAAGTTTGTTTTTTTTTTTTTTTACGTTTGATAGACGATTCTTCACGGATTCTCTCTTCCGTAAATACGTTTGAGTAATACGAACACAACTTTACCGGTGCTACTCGTTGAACGATACCAAACCAGATTCGATTCCATGATAGGTGAGGTAAAATGACGACGCTTTCCTCCTCTACCTCTTCCTCGTTGTAGTCGTCGTCGTCGTCGTCGTCGTCGTCGTCTTCTCTACGAAAGGGCGTGCCTCGTAAAATCGTTATCGAGAGCGCGCATCGTTGAACTCGAAAACGAATCCCGAAGGGATGGAAAAACGATGAGAGAAAGAGAGAGAAAGAGAGAGAAAGAGAGAGAGAGAGAGAGAGAAAACTACCCCTCTCGTTTCCACTCGTCTCACTTGAAGTCGCGTGTGAAAGAATCGACCTGTTAAAACCCAAAGGTGAAATTCTTTTTCTTTTTTTTTCTCTCTCTCTCTCTCTCTTTTGTCTTTCTACGTTTAAAATAAAAAATGTGAAAGAAGAAGAAAACAAAATTGTTGAAACTAAGGTATATATATATAATGTAATGTAATTTTTATGTTACACGAGAGAAAGAGAGAGAGAGAGAGAGAGAGAGAGAAGACCGCAAATCAATTATTTTGGAAATAATTTAGAAACCCTGATGCAAACCGGATGCAAAAATTATTAAAATGATCGAATTAATATAGATGAGATAAAAGAAATAAAAAATAAAATAATTCTACTATTGGGATATAATTATATTAAATATTAAATATATAATATATAATTATAATATATTAATATATATATATATTATGAACTATATACAGTTTATATAATATAGTAGATATATAGTATTTATAATTATTATATATACTATAATACTTATAGTATACTAATAATATAACTATATATAGTAGATATATAGAGTTATATATAATATTAATAATTATAATTATAATATAATGGCGGGATTTGGTATTTGCGACAATGAACTTTCGAGTTCCTAACGCTAACTAATAATAATAATTATTATTATTATAATATATAAAAGTGTTGAATTTGTTTATAATATATCTTAAAGATTAAAATACACTAAATATATTTTGAAAATACCGTAATGTAGTAAGTCTCGCCAAAAACAAATAAAATATACAATAAAACATTCGCTATCTTTCTCTCTCTCTCTATCTATCTCATTTTAATATCTGTATATTAGCTTTTTATTTTGATTATTAAAAAAAGGAAATCACCTGTGATAAGCGTTTTTTTCTTTCTACCATTTTATTATTTATTTTGTTTCTCTTTTCAAGAATAATATATAAGATAGGAATAGTCAGTTTGCGCATGTAACGAATACCTGCCCTGTAATTATCGGATGCTGGTATATACGTTCTTATACATAAATAAAATAAAAAAAAGAAATAATTTTAAAAAGAAGAAGATACGAAAAGAAGCATCATATAAAAGTGTACGCGATTTTCCATGGGCATCATCTCAGCATTCACTCTCTCTCTCTCTCTCTTACTCTCACATTCTCGTTCCGGACGAAGATACAATCAGGGAACTAAAGAGAGAAGGGATAAGAGGGATGAGTAAGAGGGGTTGGTTGTGTATGGCTCGTACGAATGAACGTACGCGGACCAACCATGGCGCTGTCATTAAACCGCAAGCAGAATTTCCAACTGCCCGACTCGACACGCGCCCCAAACCCTCCCAAGCGAATCCCCCATTCATCATAAATGCAATCAGATCGTATTACGCGCCATTACCATACGCTACTCCTCTCTCTCTCTCTCTCTCTCTCTTTCTCTTTCTCTCTCTTTCTCTTTCTCTTGCCGTATTTCCCTAACACTTTTTCTCTTTTTTTTTTTTTTCGTTATCTGTTCGTTCATTCGTAGCTTTAAAACGTATGATGTTAAAATTTAAAATTTATTTTTCTTATTTTTATTTTATTTTATTTTACTTTTCTAATAATTTTGTAATATAATATTTAATAGTACTTTGACAAAGATATTCGATGATATAAATAAGAATTATTATCTTTGTACGGAAAGAAATAATTTACACTTTTTTTTTTATATGAAAATGGGGTGAACAGTTTCCAAGCCTTGATAAGAAAGAAAAAAAGGAACTTTCAGTTTTCTTGTTTATCTATTTTTTTTTTTTAAACAATTATCATATCTTAATGTATAAATATATATATATATATATATATATATATATATATATATATAGTAATAATAATAGTAGAATGTAAAGGGTGTTCTGTAATTGGTGGTATAAGCGAGTATGGGGTAATTTCACATAGAATAAAAAAATTAAGTCGAATTGCAAGTCGAAAATGTAGGAATTATGTTTGTTTCTATAAAAAATTATTTGTAAGAAAAATAAATGTATATATATATATAAATGTATGGGGATGAATATGAATAATAAGATGAAACAAAGAGGAATAGACACACAACACACTCATTCGTATCTCGTGATTTCACAATGATTATAGCAAATCGTAAATAATGCATTGTATTAAGCGTTAATTATTTTATCGTGTCGATTAATCATTCCAAACGAATTCCCGAGTGACGTATATACGCACGTGGGAGATTATCGATAAATTTGTAATAATAAATTGGCCGTTATATAAAGCCCATATCCATCGAAATTCATGCCGACGACGTTTGTACTTATATTATAATATAATAAAGTATCCCCACCCTCTTTTCTAAACAAAAAATCACATTTTTTTTTTTATAAATATTTCTAAATATCGCGATTTGATTTGTAAACACCAACAAATTAAATAACCCTCTAATCATTTCAACAAATTAATGGAAAACAAAGGATATTGTTTAAAAGGATACCTACACAAAAAATAAGATAAATCATCAGTAGTTTAATTTATTTTAGAAAAATTTGGAAAATTATTGTCCCTCTCTCTCTCTCTCTCTCTTTCTCTTCACTCGCGTCAATTCACACACATCATATATATATAGGTTCGAATTAGAACAAGGGTGCAAGCAGAAGGGTTTGAATGGCGCGTGACGCCTGCCGGTAGTTTTGATCGTTTTGATCCCTTCTACTATTTCTCTCTCTCTCTCTCTTTCTCATTCTCTTTCTATTTTTACCTTGGTTCACGTATTTTAATCTAACCTTACTCTCCCCCCTCCTTTACCAACAAATCCCCATTCACCAACAAACCGCAGCTTTCTAGTCATACCAAGCATATATATATATATAATATAAAATAATAGACAGAAAAAAAAAGAAGAATAAGAAACAGATGTTATAATATTTTACGTAAAAAGGTATGACGAAGGATGACATCAATCTTTAGAGGTCACAGTTCAAGCGTTTAAATCTTGATTTACAAAAAAGAGTCATATTTCAACAATGAAAACGATAGGAACACGACGAACGCGAGGAGGTTTAGTTTCTAGTATCGTGGACA